TACACAACACAACCGGAGATGAATTCCAAACACGTTGAAATCGTGTCAGGAACGGGACACTCAAACCACGCAAAAATCCTGAGAGGAGGTCCAGCACAACTGCCCAGGTGCGTAAGCAACACAAGCTGAGATGAATTCTAAATACGTTGAAATCGTTTGAGGAACGGGACACTCAAACCACGCTGAAATCGTGAGAGGAGGACCAACACAACCGCCCAGGTGCGTACGCAACACAACCTGAGCGAAATTCCCAACACGCTGAAATCGTGTGAGGAACGGGACACTCCAACCACGCTGAAATCCTGAGATGTAGTCCAACACAACCGCCCAGGTGCGTTCGCAACACAACCTCAGACGAATTCCAAACACACTGAAATCGTGTGAGGAACGAGACACTCAACCCTCGCTAGAATCCTGACAGGAGGTCAAATACAACCGCCCAGGTGCGTACACAACACAACCGGAGATGAATTCCAAACACGCTGAAATCGTGAGAGGAGGTCTAACACAACCGCCCAGGGGCATACACAACACAACCTGAGATGAATTCTAAACATCCTGAAATCGTGTGAGGAACGGGACACTCAAAGCACGCTAAAATCGTGAGACAGACCACGGTAAAATCGTGATAGGAGGTCCAACACAATCGCCCAGGTGCGTACACAACACAACCGGAGATGAATTCCAAACACGCTGAAATCGTGTCAGGAGCGGGACACTCAAACCACGCAAAAATCCTGAGAGGAGGTCCAGCACAACTGCCCAGGTGCGTACGCAACACAAGCTGAGATGAATTCTAAATACGTTGAAATCGTTTAAGGAACGGGACACTCAAACCATGCTGAAATCGTGAGAGGAGGACCAACACAACCGCCCAGGTGCGTACACAACACAATCTGAGATGAATTCCAAACACGCTGAAATCGTGTGAGGAAAGGGACACTCAAACCACACGCCATGCTGGAGATCGTGAGAATGTAGTCCAAACGACAATGCCCAGGTGCGTTCGCAACACAACCTGAGACGAATTCCTAATTCACGCAAACGGTGGGACGGGACACTCAAACCACACTGGAAATCGTGAGAGGAGGTCCAACAAACGCCCCAGGCTGCAGTACACACACAGCACAACCTCAGATGAATTCCAAACACGCACAAGAAATCGTGTGACAGAGACAGCGGGACCAGCAACCACCGCAGCATGTAAGGAGGAGGTTCCTGAACAACAACCGCCCAAGTGTGTACACACACAATGTCAACCTGAGATGAACTCCCCACGATGAAACACCGTGGGTCCACACAACCAGGCGTCCATAGCAGATGACATTCCAACCACGCTGGCAACATCGTGTGACAGAACGGTCACAGCTCAAACCACGCAGATATCGTGAAGAGGGTGTGCAAGCACGCCGCTCCAGGTGGTGTACACACACTACAAATGCCCTGAGCCATAGCCAGATATCCAAACGACGCGTGCAAATTCAGTGAGCACGGGACACAACAGTGTAATCTAGGCAACCACGCCCAGTGTGCTACAAACACAACTGAGATGAAATTTCCAACATCCGCTGACAACATCGTGTGAGGAAACGGGACACTCAAACACGGCTAAATCGATGAGAGGAGGCCGACAAACAAACCGCCAGGTGCGTACGTAACACACACTTAGATACAATTCCAAACGCTGAAACCTCGCGTGAGGACAAGGGACACTCACCACGCCGAAATCGCTGAGAGGAGGTTCACACAACAACCGCCTAGGTGCGTACTACGAACACAACCTGGAAAGATTCCAACACACTACTTAAGAAACTCAACCACGTGCAAATCGGAGAGAGTAACCCCAACGCTAGGGTCAGAGCACTGAATTCAAACACGCTGAACTGGAAACGGAATCCAACCGAAATCGGAGAGAGTCACCACGCCAGTGGAAACCTGGCAGAACCACACAACGTTGGAAGGCACTCAGCGCAAATGGAAAGTTCAAACCCGCCCAGGTGTGTACACAATGCAACCTGAGATACAAACCCACCCAAGGCCCGCATATCCAGGCGTCCTGACTATATTTCCAAAACAGACTGAAATCGTTGAGGAACGGCAACAAACCTCACCCATCGGCTGAACATCGTGAGAGGAGGTCCAACACAACGCCCATAGTGCGTCACAACAGCACCTGAGCATGAATTCCATCACACCGCTGAAATCGGTGTGAGGAACGGGAACTCAAACCTACGTAAACTCGTGAATAGGAGGTCTAACACAATCGCCCAGATGCGTACAACACACACAAACCGGAAATGAATTCCAAACACGCTGAAATCGTGTCAGGCACACGGGACACCACTCGAAGACCCACGCCAAAATCTGAGAGGAGAGTCCAGCACACTGCCGGCAGGTGCGTACGCCAACACCAACGCGAGATGAATTCTCAATACGTTGAAAATCGTTTGAGGAACGGGGACACTCAAACCACGTGACAATCGTGAGCGCGGGACCACACACAAGCCGTCCCAGGTGCGTACACAACACAACCTGAGGAGAATTCCAAACAGCTGAAATCAGTGTGGAGGAATGGGACACGCAACCATGCTGGAATCCTGAGATGTCAGTCGCAACACAACTGCCCAGGTGCGTTCGCAAAACACAACCTCAGAACGAATTCCAAACCCGTCAAACGTGTGGGGAACGGGACACTCAAACTCACACTGAAGATCGTGAGAGGAGTTCCAAACACAAAGCCGCCCGGTGCGTGCCACAACACAACCTAGATGAATTTCCAAACACGCAAACAAATCGTGTAAGAAAGGGAGACAAAACCACGCTGAAGATCGTAGAGGGTTGATTACAAAACCTCCACAGTGTGATAACACACGCAACCTGAGATGAAACTCGCCCCAGACCCGCACATCAGGCCGTCCTGAGAATACAAATTCCAACCGACTGAAATAGTGCGAGGAACGGTACACTCAAACCACGCAGAAATCGTGAGAGGTAGTCTAACTTCATCTCGATCGCAATGGTGCGTACATCTTTATTATCTATTCTATTATTCGTATGTGTTATATCTTATTTATTTATTTATTTGTCTTGTAATATTTTCTTTTTGTTGTATGTATGTGTGTTGTTCTATTTATCACAACCGTCTCCTAGTTTTGTTGTTCTTTTTTTTTTTTTTACAACACAACCTGGAGATGAATTCTAAACATCCTGAAATCATGTGAGGAACGGACACTCAAGCACGCTAAATCGGAGTACGGGTGGTCCAACACAACCACCCCGGTGCGTTCGTAACATAACGACCTGAAGATGAATTGCCAAACACCGCTGAATTTACCACCGTGCGAGAACCGGGAAACGTCAACAATCCGCTAGACGCCGAAATCGTGAGAGGAGGTCCAACACAATACCGCCCAGGTGCG